TTTGCCCCATTTCAAGTCACAAATCGCCATGCGTGGCTGCGGCTGGCTGACTGCCAGACTACATGGATACTACTCAAGTGTATATCAGTGTTCCAGACGGCACGCAATGCTGCCCAACTGGAGGCCGGCTAGCAAGCCAACCTTGAATTTAAGTTCGAATTCGTGTCCTGCCCAGTCAACGCACTCTCATATCTTAAAAGAAAGAGTGAGAGTTCAGCTAACCAAACCGTTGCCCGATCAGTGGGATCAAAAAAAAAAAGAAGAAGGACAGCCAAAATATAATCCACGAGGCAACATGCAATTGGCAATCAGACAAAGAGATGAAGGGGCTATAAATATCCGCAAGACACATTATAATGACAGCAATAAAGAACATGATGATGACTCGGCACACCCCATTCATCAGCATCGATGAGATGACTCCGCAGGCACAGGCACACGCACAGGCAGAGAGGCGCACGCAAAGGCTGAGGTACAGAGTCAGCGGGAGCACTGCCTTCATCCCCATGCCTATATTAATGCCATCCCGATCACTCATTGAACTGCTTTGCCTCCATGTTCGCGTTGCGACAACGTGTTGCACATGGCTGCCACTGGACGTGGCCCACAGCTCTAAGTGCAATATGAGTAGCACTCGACGCTTGAAGATTATTTAAATCGCTGCTGGCAACAGGCTGGCAATACGTTTGGGAGCTGGCGACGGGTTCCATGCCGCTGCTGGCAGCTGTTGCGACTGGGAAAGGGAAACTGAGAACTGGCCCCCTCCCACACATACATATTTGGCAGCCGATGTGGCTGCTGTTGCTGCGGGGGGAGCTGTTGATGGTATGCGGCTAATTACCGAGACACACACACACACACAGACACACAACTCTCCCGACTGGTCTGTGGATTGTCCGGCTATCGAGCCTGGCAACCGTCTAGCGGAATCGCTTTGTGTGCCATTTTTGGCTCATGTTTATAACTTGATTTTGTTGCGCTATTTGCGCGGCAGCAGTTTCTATGTATGTCATTCCCTCTGCTGGATAAACCGAAGTCTTATTTAGTTTTTATGCTGCAGCTGCTGCTGAAAGTGAATTCAGGGCGCCATTTCGAAAGGAATTAACCCAGTTAATAAACGTGGCGAATATGTAAATAATATCTAATGGCAAAGGCGACTACAAAGCAAACAAAAGAACTCTAAAGTTCGAAGCCTACACTGCGCTGCATAAATATACACACACCCAGAATTACGCTTGGGCGACATTGCAAATTAATGCCAATGTATTGAATTAGAAATTGTTTAAATTGATTCATAATTAATCCAGCATGCATATGCTCTTAGTTTTTCTTCGAATATAATGAAAGTGCAACTCAATATTTCTTTATAGATAAATTGGCCCAAATGCCACGAAACAGCGAAATTTCTTGAGAATTGTAATAGATACATTTAAGTCGTGCAACCAAAAAAAAAAACAATAGACATCAAATCCGAAATTATTTTTACGCAATTAGCCGATTCCGTTGAATATTTCAATGATTCACAGTATCTATTTACAATATTAATTTGTATGCTTCTGCTTGAAATTGCTTTCGGTTTTGAATATGTGTACATATGCACCTTGAGCGCTATGAGATCAGCTTTTGGGACTTATGCGAGCTTCTACATTTTTTATTTACGTTTACGTGTGCTGTCTAACATGTCTTTAATTATTTATTTACATTTTCGTTATCATGCTGTACCTTTATTAAGGCCTAAGAGCTACGAATTTTTGACGATATCAAGTTACCTTTTGGCTTTAATCGTTATTCAGATTGACAAACATGTAGATCTGATGCTGCGGCCCGCGACTCGGCGTGCAACAGTTGGACCTGGGCCCGGGCCCGGGTCGCTCTCCATATGCGGGTTAATGCTCCGATTGGGATGTCGCAACAACTTGTTTCGCTGCACTCGCTCCACTGCCGGCTATTGGCCGCCTTAAGGCCGTTTTATTAATGCAAAGCTCTTTGGAAAATATTTCCACCTTGAATGGAGGCACTTAAATTGTTAACATGCAAAACAGTCAGCCAAGCATGTGCCAAGTGTCAGACTTGTTGATGTGCATGTGTGTGTGTGCGCGTGTGTGTGTGTGCGTGTGTCTTTAAAACAAAAGCGAAAACAAATAAAGTCAAATTTGGCATGCAAATCCTTTAAATCAAACAGAACAAATTGCAGGAGGGTGGCTAACATAAAAAAAAGGCACAATAAACGTTGACAAAATGTCGAGCGAAATGACAGCGCATTTTTTGGCGCCCCCGCCGAGGAGCTTAGCCCAGCCGCCATCCCCAACTCCGGCCGGGCTAACCCTCGCTGCGAACAGCTGTTGCTGGGGAAAGTACAACAAATTGGAAAATATAAAATCAACAGAGCTAATAGTTCACTTAGGGGCAACAACCAAGCAGCCGACGACGACGTCGACGACATGGGGTTGGGCTGCTTGATTTGACATACTGGCACACATTTGCCCCCGCTTCCTCACCTTGCCCAGCAGCACAAACACACACAGCCACACACACACACACACACACACACACACACACATACATGTGTACATACGCCGTGCAGGCGTTGTCCGTAGCCCTTTCTTGTGGCCCGCAGTCATATTGAGCCGATTTACTATTGAAAATAAATTTTTATTCGATTTTCTTTTCGCTCGCCTCTGCTACTTACAACATTTGACAGCGTTCTTGGGTCTTCTTCCTCGTCTTCTTCTTGCGCCCGCTTTGAAGCATGCAACGCTCTGACGACTTTTGGATTTGATGTGAAAGTGCGTAGCTTTTTACGACTTTCAGTTTCCGATTTGTTTCCATTTCAATATAAATATATATATAAAAATATGGGTTTTGGGGCATCGGAATCATCTATTTTGATTTGGATTTCCAGCAGTTGTTTCTGATTTTCAAATAAAATTTGTTCGCTTATTAGTTTGACGGATCGCATATGGCGCAGCATAAATCAAATATATACGGTATATGTGAAAGTACAAACACGGCGGAAAATCACAATGAATCACAAATTTACGAGTGTGAAATATGATTACATGATTTCCGTTGCCAACGAATCTAACGTGTATTTTTTTTTGATTACACCATTGCAAGCACACAGATTGTCTGCCACGCCCCCGCAGCTGCAGAGGAACGGTTACAATAAGTTGGTTAGACCCTACTAATCGGCATTACGTGCGATCCATCCCAAGCACTCTTAACACTGTCAACTGAGCTCTTCTGACAGCTACCCATCTGGCTGGCAATTTGGGCGCCTCAAGCATGCGGGCATGCCTGGGCGGGCCAGGCCTGTTCTGTGAACAGCATAAATGTTGCCTCATTATACGAATAACTCAAGTATAGAACTCTTTAAGCTTTGATGGTGTCTGCTAACAAATGTACACTAGCCGATTAAAATGCATAAACTGTTCGGCTTGCGAGTGTCAAATTTACCAGTATCTTTTCTTCTCTGTTTACCCCTTTTGGAGTTGAGCAGATTTCTAATAGAGTTATCCGCAACTTAGATCGGGAGTAACTTCTATTGTAGCTTCTCCCTCGTCTCTTGGCACATTTATCCATTTCTAGTGGTATCTAATCAGTTAGATCTATATACACTCTCAAATCTTTCATAATTCGAGTCATGTTGAACATTCCAGAATTGGCATCATCAAAATGTTATAAACAAAATGTGCTCTTAATTAATTGAATGAAACACTTTTACTTGCCGCTCACAATTGACCGTCATTTGCATAGGCACAGAGTGTGGGTACTCGTGCGTATGAGTGAGTATTGTTTTTATATAGTTGGGTATATAGCTGGGTTCTTGTCATGTCGTGTGCTACGCTAAACTCGATAAATATTAATTGTTTGCTTTTGTCCAGCGAGACAATTTGAGGTCAGCTAAATACGCATGTCTCTATGTACTCCCATAGTTGTAGAGTGTGCGCGTGTGTGTGTGTGTGATATGGCGCCCATTAATTGTATTAGATTATGCCCAAGTGAAGGGCTTGGAACCGGGTTCGAGCTAAATAAGCGTGTTGACAATTTGAATTTGAATATCAGCTGCTGCTGTTTGGGCATGTGTAATTACCAAATGAGCCCAGCCCAATATAATGATTTATTAAGTGGGCAACTACAATTTTATTTTGCCGCTCACTTGACAAACTTTATTTATGGGCAATTTGTTGCTTGAGCCCTCTGACATTTTCATGAACTCCCTGCCAGCTGGGTGTGTCTGCGCAACTCTTTCGTTTATCTTAGCTTAAAGTATAAATAACATCTAACAATTCGGCGATCAGCACAACATCTTATTGTCATTAATCTCGACAAGCAATAGGCCTGAGCTTGAGCCATTGTCTCACATATACAACTTGCCCCATGTGCAACAGTGCAACGCATGAAGTTGTTTGCCTGTAAACGACCGCAAAATTGTCTGGCTTCGAGCTTGATGCCTGCGGTTGCAAGCGGCATGTGGGGCAACGCAGGTGTGGTTGACATTGAGGCACCGTCCACCCACAATTCCTAATTGCAAACAAGTCTGCAGACCTGCAAATAAGCACGTGGCCGCTCCAGGGGCGCATAGTAATGGTCTCGTATTACCAATGATTGTGTCCGGTGGATAAAGTGTCTGCGGCTGCTTAAATTTGCCGCAAAGGTGCAGGTGCATTACCAAAGTGACATCTGAAATGGTATACAAGTTGGGCTAATACCCTATAAATTAACCATACTCAGCAGTTCCGATTGAGGCGGATCGGAGATCGGTGTCATTTAGAGAATTGAAAAAAGAGGCTCAGAATGTAAATAGTTTATAAGTATATTCTTTACTAAAAATAATAATAATAATACAAATTATAATAATAGTACTAATAATAACCTGGACTATACTAGCTATAAAATATTTATGTATTATGTATTTTAAAAAATTGTTTATCTTAAAGATACTTCTTTTCTTATTTCTATATATATATTATATTAGTTACTTTTACTTCTTTTCGCAGCATTCTGCCTGTTAAAAATGCGTTCGTTTCTGTACATCGTTTGGCTGGTGCTGCCATTTCTGGTTCCGGTTTTGGGCTCTTTCGAATTAAGTGGCCAGACCATTAAAGGTAAATATAAACCCCATTTAAATATTACATTTCGTTTTTAATTTAACTAAGCAGTTAGAAGTTTCCTTAAAACTCTTGTACAACATTCAAGACTTGACTATTAGCCAGAAAATTAATGTTAAATGTTTGCTTATTCTAAATATATGAAGCAGATAATATTAATATTTTAATATGAAAAATAACTATTAATTTAAAGAAAAACAAATTGTTTAAAAAATTCGTTGCACGCTTTCGGGAGGCCTTAAATAATATAATGATACAGACTTATTCAAGGCATATCTTAAGGCGGGCATCAACATTCGTACACATAACTTTACTTGTACACTTATTTGAATTGGCATCGATTGGCATATTTTTATCCCAGTTGCCATATTAATTATTCATCATTATTCCTTCCTATTTTTATATCCACAGATGCACTCGGTGAATATATGCTGACTGATATAATGAACAGCAATCAGTATACGGGCATTGAGTTTGCGGAGGGAGAGGATGGCTTTCCGGCCTTCAAGCTGCTCTCCACTGCAGATGTGAAGTCGCCCTATCAAATGTTGCTGCCCGAGAAGCTATACGAGTTCGCCATACTAATCACCTATCGCCAGAGCTCGCTAAAGGGCGGCTATCTGTTTAGCGTGGTGAATCCACTGGACACTGTGGTGCAGCTGGGCGTGCATCTATCGCCGGTTGTCAAAAACAGCTACAATGTGACGCTGGTTTATGCGCAACCCGACCAGAGCGCGGGCCGGAAGCTGGCCAGTTTTGCGGTTGCCCACGTGCCGGACAAGTGGAACTCGATTGCATTTCAGGTGTACAGTGACAAAGTGGTTTTCTATTATGACTGCATACTGCGCAACACCACGACTGTGGTGCGAGATCCCTTTGAGCTGGTATTCGCATCGGCCTCGGTGCTGTACATTGGCCAGGCTGGTTCCATAATTGGTGGCCACTTCGAGGTAAGTTCTGGCGGCGGCCAATTTGCTTTCACGTATAATAATTATTGTAACAACAGACGCCAACCGGCAGCACACATGTCTATTTAATGGCTAAGGGGTCGCAATTGATTGGGTAATTTGGGCAACTCGGGCATTTTGGGAATTTACAGAGCGGCGCATCAAAGACATCAAGACCACATGCCTTTACGCATTTCAATATGTACTCGAAACTCTTGTGCAATGAACTCAATGTACTCGTAAGTACAAGCAAGTACTCTTTGAATAGCTGCAAGTGGCAGCCATTCAACCATTCAAACATTCAAGCACCAACGGATGTGTTGAAATAGTTAGCTCTAGAGCTTTTCAACACACCTGCTGGCAACAATTCCACCACTGCACCCTTATGGGGCGCCAGTTTGCCACGCAGCGGCCAAATTGGCAGACAACTCAGATGTGGCACTCAGTTGGCTTCACTCAGAGCGCACAGTTTGGCTCAGCCATAAGGTACTCACACTCATAATAAGTATACGCCGAGCGTGACGGAGTTTCACTCAAGGCTCACGCGCTCTCTGGGCTATATTCAGCGCCTGTGAGGACGAAGTCTTGGCGGGCACGAGTGAAATTTTGTTGTCTGAGGCACGAGCTCAGCTGGAGCCAGTGTATCCTGTGTGTTTGTGTGTCCATGTTGTGCGCGCCATGTTGCTGTGATTTGGCTTACGTTGGGCCTGGCCGAGACGAGTGCGTTTACCTTTCAGTCGCGTTCGGTGCCGCAAACAGTTAACATGTGCGTACGGCTGAGACGAGGCAGCGCTACGTTTTTTCCACACTGCCACAGCACACGCTGAAGTCGCGCTCTGACTCGTCGCCTCCTGTGGTAGCTCGGTCTTGTTTTCGACCACGTCCTCATCCTCGGCGCTGTCGTCGCCGACGCTGGTCGGCATCGTGAAGCGTATGCGGCTATGTGTGAGCCAGGCGTAAATGAAGCCATTGCGCGAGTTTAGCCGCAAAAAACGAAAGTGATTTATGCCTAAATGAAATATGTTTGCATAATGTCCAAGTGAACCGAAACGTGTAACGTGTAACGTGAACCCGAAACCAGCCAAAAAAGCATCGAAGCCCCAACGGACTCGAGTCAATTAAAATTCAATTATGCGTTCAAAGATGAAGCAAAGATGGCGCAAACGTTTGAAATTGCGACCACTCACCTAGCTGCCAATGCCAGTGCCCCAGTGCCCCTCTGACTGGAACAGTCTTCGAGACCATATCAACCTGAACACGTCACATATCAAACAACATTCCTGGCCGCATTCGTGTCGCTGATTGTTGCGCGTGTCCCTTGCCTATATCGCGTGCAGTTGACTAAACGCCTGGCCAGATTTTCTGCAAAATTAATAAACGTAATGCTCGAGTATTACCTATAGCCAGTAAATTACCAACATATCTGCAAGCCCAGCCCCGCGCCCGGCTTGGCAAATAAAGTGTGGCGTAAAAAATCAACAGAGACCAACGCAAATTTGTTTGCCCGCCGAGCAAATATTTACAATTAGTTTGGCTGGCAACGCGGCTTTTTACTCCTGTTGCAGTTCGCGTTATTGCTGTTGTACATTTTGTGTTGTGCTCTTGTTCTTCTTGTTGTGCTACTTGCCGTGTCCATTGCCATCGCCGTGTCAAGCGTGTAAAATTTGAACAGCTCCGTTGCCAACGTCGCCAACGTCGTCGTCGTCGTCGCCGTCGTCGCCGTCGCCAGTTGTAAAAGTTTCGTGTGGACCAAAAGCGTCGCCGGTTCAAGTTGAAGATGAAAAATTTAAAACTCACAACATTTTGCCACTGCCATTGTCAGTACCCCGCGCGTCGAGCTGCCCCTGCCCCAGCAGCTGGCTCTCAGTGAATTTGTTCAAATGGAAATCAATCAATTGCACAACGCAAAAATGCATGTGGTGTGGCAGCGAGCAAATTAATTGCGCTCAGCGGGAGCCAACGGCTGGCAGCCCAGCTAACAAACGCACATTGCCACAACTATTTCGTTTTTTGTTTAAACAAATAAAGTATGCTGTCATTTGTAATTACAAATGAGTTGCCAATAAGTGCATAACTTGAACGAAATAAAAGAAATAACACAATCGGAAAGTGTAAAGCAAAAAAAAAATAATATTAATAAATAACTATTGTAATTTAATTATCTGTGATTTTGTCAACATATTCAATATTATTATATTATTATTGCATATGCAAATGCAAATACATATACAAATACGTTACCACGTGCATATCGTGTAGTTAAAGCTATAGCTTAATCCAACTGACTTTTAACGCGCTCAACTCGAAGGTAAATACATGCATACATTTTAATAATATATATATGTATATATATATATATATTTGAATATATATATGCTATATGGTTCGTACTCTGCTGGCATTAGGAGTACAATAAGCCACACAAATGGTTTGAATGTCGCAGGCTGTTGCCTATCAAATTGGGCATTGGCTGCGCATAAATTATGACAAGCTGGGCGGAGTAGGATGGACTAGGAGCAGGTGGGGGAGGGGAGGGGAGGGGAGGGGCGGAGGCAGCGGCTTTCCAGGCTCGTTGCGCCTTATTCGCGTTGGCCCAAATCAAAGGCAAACTCATTAAGGCAGCGCAATGCAGCAGCAACAACAAGCATGAATAACCAACACACACACACACACGCACACACACTCACACATGTGCATATTAAAGCAACGTTGTGTGTGTGTACGCCTGTGTGCGTAATATTGTGTATACGTAGACTATTGTGCGCTCGGTCGGCCGCCTTTGTCTTTAGCGTTCTGGCCGCCAGGCAAACGAATATACGTTTTATTTATTAAATAAAAGGCCTTTTAAGCGTCTGCATTATAACAAAAGCTATACGCAGACTTACTCTGACCTCTGGCAACAGATATAAGGTTAACAGACGGACAAAGTATAAGCCAGGCTATTGATGACATCCCAAAATAAGCATTGTCCATATGGGGCCAGAAGTTAAATATTTAAAACATGACTCCACTAATTCCTCGAGTCACAAAACTATTTTTGCGGCTGTCACAGGCTCAGGCTCAGCATTTCAATTGCGACTTCACGCATTTCAGCCTCATAACAATTCCCTCCGCAGCCCGAAAATATGGACTAGCTGAAATATGGTATTTGGACATTTTCAGCTTTTGCTGTGCAGTCGGTGCGTGCATTTAATTAAATGGTATTACGCATATGACATGTAACAACAACAACAACAACAACAGGAGTATCAAAAGCCGAGAACTTTAAATAGTTTATATATTGGTTTGCTGTGCGGGGCTTAGTTCGACTCGTGTTAAAGACTGGCAACAAGCATGAATACATACTTATATATATATATTTGTGTAGTCATAAATTTTCATTGCTGAATGTTGCGTGCCCTTCTCTCTGCGTGTGTGCGTGTGTGTGTGTGTGTGTGTATGACGTACATTTAAATATATCACAATTTGATTGTGTGTTTTGCTGCTGCTGCTGCTGTTGTTGTTGTTAACACCGTTGGCTTACATGCCAGCCCCTCAATGTGGGCTTTATTTTCAGTAATATGTAATTTTGATTTGCAAATTTATCAATTTGGCATCATAATACAATATTTTGACCCATTATGTTGACACAATTTAAAATTCAATTTAAAATGTTTATTTACATATTCAGCCAAATTGCCTCCCACAATAAGTTGTTTTCTATGTACCGCGATTGTGTTTTGAAATTAGTTTTCAGCTAAACCATTGTCTACAAATATAAATACGCGAACACAGGCAATCGCCCAGATTTCAATTATATATATATGCAAATTCTCTGACATACATTAACATGTCTACGGAATTTGTAATACAGCATTGTGATTAGATTTAATTAAATTTAATAGTACGGTCTTATGCATTTTTTAGTAGCGCCCTTCTCTGAGATTTTCATAACTTCAAGTACGCTATAAAATTGACATCTCAAACAGTTTTTTTTAGTAACTCGTCTGAATGGGTTTCTGCACAGATTATCTCCCTTTTTTAAAAAATATTTTACTTTGCTCTTTTTTAGTCTGATTACTCATCAAAATTGTAGCACTATATTTTCTATTCATGCTTGACTTTTCACAGTATATTTCTGCTCCCATTGCCTTATTTCGGTCATGATGAAGATACATGCACAGACTTTTTATAAGCAATAATGTATCTTTTATTGCTAATAAAGATGCAGCTCGTTAAATTTAAATACAATGCTGATTTTATGGTCAGCTCTGTGATTTGTGGACTCGGACCAAATGGTTGGCCAACTAAAAAACGCTTCCATGAGAAAGTAAAGCCAATCAAAAAACTATTTTATATGATTATATGGCTGCCCGATTGGGGCCTTCAAGCAAGGAAATAAGCGCACGTACCCAAAAACCCGGCACCAATAAAGATAAATTATGCAAACGTTGGACTTTAATTATACGACTAGTGAAGCGGTTAACGCCCAGTGCGCCCACTTGTTATGTAGCCAGGGAAATGCGCCCGACTAGTTGGCTTCTTATTAATTTAACCAGCTCTTTATGTGCCCGTTGGAGCGCCCACATATACGCACAAATGAATATGCACACACGCACTCACTCTCTCACACCGTGACACATTTAGTCATGTGTGGAATGGGATTTGGGGCAATTGTCAAACAGGAGGCAGAGGAGCTGCTATCGATCAAACTTGCCCAAGTCAGAGTAAACTCTGGTAAGGGTGGAGCAGACATTCCTTCTGGTGACATTTTATTGTGCTTGCTTCTTATTAAGGATGCATGTGTGACACATGTTTAACCCCTGCTCAGCTGGAACATCAGTTAGACATTGTTACTTGAGCTTTGAATCAGACAAAGACATGCCAAATGAAATTATCTAAAGCGGAAGTTTGTCTTTGTGTATGTGCGTGTGTGTGTCAAACGCTGTTTATTAAAAATAACATGTCAAAATGTAGAAGAAAAACCGCTTGGCAATGAATAGACATAAAATACACACACATGT